CGTCAGCCAACAAGATGGGAGCCTCAGTGTTAAATCCCAAAGGAGTGAATGCTGCCCACGACCCGGACAAGCCTGGAGGACGACCTAGGCCTCCAATGAGATCACAGTCCTGGCTGACACCTTGCTTTTCACCCAGAGCAGAGGACCCAGCTCACCCATGCCTGAGCTTCTGACCCTGAGAAACCATGGTCAGATTTCGCAGCAGTAAAACCTGAATGCACCTTGCCTACTGGATGGAGGACATAAGTAGTAAGTGTAACCAGAACCCTGAGTGTCTTTGGTTCAGTCCTTGTCATGCAGGACAACAGATCAGTACTCACTTCATAGCCTCACAGCGTCATGTGAGCCCACAGAGACCATCATTTCCAGCTCTCAGAGAGGCTTAGATGACTGGCTCAAGGCCACTCTGCCAGTGAGTGGCAACTGCAGTGGTTAGACTTCAATATGCCCTTACCTAGAAAGTTCTGCTGCCAAATGGGTCAAGGATGCAGAGTATTAGAAACTGCAAGTCTTTAACATCATCTGGGTGAGGCCCTCTGCATTTGAGACAGGAGGAAACTGAGGCCTGGAGAGATTAGGGGGTGTGCAACATTCTTTCCAGTTCAGGAAGCTGTGACAAAGCACAGGTTCTGCCACCTAACAAATAATGGCGCGTGTGCCACTGCCCTTCCAAATGGAAATCCATGGCGTGTGCCCACAACTGAGCCCCAAATTAATAAACAGCAAATAAGATGCAAAAGAGACTCCAGCTCCTCTGACACCCAGGTTGCTCCAGCTCACAGTCAGGACACCGTTAAATGGTCACTAAAATGCCGAGGGCTTTATCCTTTCCAGGAAGCCTCAACTGCATTGAAAGAGAAAGTGGGGAGAACCAGGGACAGGCTTGTTAGGCTTTTTATATTTTTTTTAAAAAAGCTTAGAAACAAAAGAAAGTATTGCTGCTCTGCCAGTCAAGGACCTTTTGTGGAGGTTGATGTACGTCAGTCAGATTTGGGTGTGTGTGTGTGTGTGTGTAACCGAATAGCCTGTCACAGCCTCATTTTCCACGAGGCAAGTCTCCTCTAACTGATAACACTCTAAATAACAGGTGAGTGACTCCTGGCTGGAAGGAGATTGTCTGACCTCATTGTTTGCCTTTTCCCCCCCTCTTTGTTCTTCACAAATAAAGGTTTTTTAATAAACTGAAAGGTCCTCCGCTCTTGCCTGATGATAAAATGAAAGGAACCAGTGAGGTATGGTACAACGTGGCAGCAAAAAAGGAGAAGCTCATCAGAAAATAACAAAGGTGCAAGTTAAAGATAAGGCAGCTGTCAGAGATTAATCCTGCCCGCCTGATTGTTTTCTTTAATACCAAAGCCTGCAATAGCAAGCGATAAGTTTGCTGAGTAATTTGGTTTTTGGTGAGGAAATAAAATTCAGGTAGGCCCCATAATTGATTTCCCTTTCTTTAGTTTTCTAAACATTAAACAACAACAACGAGCCAGACTTGGCTACACTTTCTTTCTTCCAGCTGCACTGCCAATGCCATCCTCAGGACCGGGTCCACCTTCTTCATCCCAGAGGGGGTAGGAATGAGCAGGAGACTCGAGGTGCCATTTACATGAATCCTCACATCATGTCCATCAGGGTCTGACCCGCGCCTCTCCTCTCAGAACAGATGCTGGAGTCCTTGCCCTCAGAATGTGCCCTTATTTGGAAAGAGCAGCTTTGCAGAGGTTATCAAGGTAAAATGAGGTCGTGAGGGTGCAGCCTAATCCAATCTGCCTGCTATCCTTATAAAAAGGGAACGGTAGACCCAGACACAGGTCCAAGGGGAGAATGCCACCTGGAGATGAAGGCATAGATGGGTGTGCTGCATCCGGATGCCGGGAAACTCCATGGTAATGGACAAACTGCAGTGGCCAGGAGAGAGGCAGGGGGCAGCTCCTCCCTCAGCCTCAAAGACTGCGAACAGCCTGATCTCAGACTTCTGGTCTCCAGGACTGTGCCAGAATACATTTCCGTTGTTTAAGCCACCCCGTCGGTGGTGCTTTGTTAGGACTGTCCTAGCAAACGAACCCAGCGTCTACCTCCAATACACCCAGGCAGCACAGAACCCTCACTTCCACCCCGAATGTCTCCTTAATGCAATTCCCCTCAATATCTTCACATCCCCACCCCACCCCCCACACCCCCTGCGGTTTCTCATCGCTTTAGGTGAAACTGTAAGGAAGGCAAAGAAGGGAAAGAAAACCCTGAAGGCCCAGCGCTATCCCCGCTTCTGAGGGTATGAGAGGATCGGAGCCCTCCCACCTAGCACTCTGGGCATTTATGGGTACCGGGTGCCTAGACCAGGGCCCTTGCACACGTACACACACGCAGCCGCTTCCCCTCTGTGGTCCCTGGTTGGTGCGAGCGCAGAGCAGCCACCCAGGGCCCATCCTCGAGAGGGACCCGGGAAGGGGACTGCTGCTTGGAAGCCCCGAACAATCAGGCAGGATGCTGTATCTCCAGGTCCTCAGCTCCTGGATTTGCATTTGCGTACTTTCAGATCTGCGATCTTCCAACTTGAACGTGCCTGCGTAGGAGTGACTCACCCGGGGATCCTGTTGAAATACGGGCTCTGACTCACTTGAGTATGGGGTGGGGCCCGCTCAAAGGTGCTTTACCAACAAGCGCCTGGGTGATGCCCGCGATGCTGGCGCGCGGACCACGCCTAGGGTGCAAGTTACACTGGGGTGCACTCACAAGGTGGAGGTGTGGGAAGGGGGCTGGGAACAGGGGTGGTCCTTCTTGGTGGCCCAGAGGCAAACCTTTCAGTGCCCACAAACCTCCGCAGATTCCGATGTCTCTGGGCCAGAAAAACCTTCAGTAGGGTCAGAGGGGGAAACACAAAAGGAAGCATCTGAGGGGGTGCAGCTGGGGGAGGGGGACCCCCAAACGAGAAATGTGATGCGTTCCTGCGCTCCCAGACGCACGCTCACAGGCGGCACCCGCAGCAGCAGTCTTCTTTATTGTGATAAAATGAACAGCCCCCAGGTTGCTCATCCTGCAGCTAATTTCTCATCTTATCTATTATGTGAATGAAATGGGAAAACGGTTTCCTGTTTCTCCCAGATATCACTGACAGGAGAGATACTGAGCGAATTCCCTGGAAAAGCCTGCAGTCCCATCCCTCCGTGGGCGCGCTCGGTTCACGAGGAGGAATCGATGTGCCGATGTGCCGATGTGCCGTCGGGGCTAGCTCTCAGATGGAGAAACCCGCCGCAGACGCACCTCACCTCCCCCGTGTGAATATCACCTTGGAAAAGGGCTGAGGGGCCCCCAGGTCTTTTTCAGTCGCATTTCAGGGCAGATATTCCTTGAGGCCCAAATGACAGGTCTGGGAGTGACTGTGTTCTGGGTCAAGGATCTCCATCAGCCCGCAGCCATCTCCTGTTCTTCCCACCTGCCTTCCCACCCTGGCAGGGAGCCCCCACACCCTGTCACCGGTCACAGATCTTCCTCCTGAGATGAAGGACAGCCCTGTCCTAGTACAACTATCTTGTCAGCCGCTCAGTCGTGTACGACTTTGTGACTCTGTGGTCTGTAGCCTTGCCAGGCTCCTCTGTCCTTGAAATTGTCCAGGCAAGAATACTGGAGTGGGTAGCCATTCCCTTCTCCAGGGGATCAGGGATGGAACCGGGGTCTCCTGAACTGCAGGCAGATGCATTGTAGGCAGATTCTTGACTGTCTGAACCACCAGGGAAGCCTGCAATGGAAGAATCTGCCTGCAGAGCGGGAGACATGTGTTCGATCCCTGGGTCGGGAAGATCCCCTGGAGAAGGAATGGCTACCCACTCCAGTATTCTGGCCTGGAATCCCACGGACAGAGGAACCTAGCTGGCTACAGCCCATGAGGTTGCAAGGAATCAGACAGGACTGAGCCACTAACACTCACTTTCAAGCTTCTTGGGGAATCACAAATTTTCATGCACATTTGGCTCAATTCTCTGTTATTATCAGTGAAGAAACTGAGGCTCAGAGTGGTAGACAGGTTTGGCCAACGTCACCCTGCGGGGATACAGCGGAGCCTTTTGGGTCCATTCTGTGGTCAAGGTATGGCAGAAGTGAGATCCGAGACAGCAGTGTTAGTGGAAGCCGCGAGCTGTCTAAAGCCCATGAGATACCCAGAAAAATCCTCCTAACTCAGGTTGTTCCAAGCTTTGACCTGGAAACCTAGCACATCTGCGAACAAGTTCTGACAGGGAGAGAGTGCTGGCCCCACACAGGAGGGGCCCGACTTGGGCTGCTCATTATAGTCATTTGAAGGTTTTTTTTTTTAATGCTAATGACTGGATCACACCTCTGACAACTTGAATTCAAATCTCTCAGGCCTTTCAGTCTCTGTGAGCTTGTTAGAAATGCAGACTCTCAGCCAGCCCCCACCCCTACCCCCACCCTGCCATCCAATGGCGTCAGAATCTGGGTGATTCCCGTGCATGCCAAGACTTAAGAAGCGTGTTTGGGCTACATGTTGGAACCACCTGATGCCCAGGCCGCAGTCCAGACCAAAACAATTATAATCTCTGAGGGTCAAGGCCTGCCATGAGTGGTTTTTTAGAGAGGTGAAGACCTCAGAGAGGACTGCAGGGCACAAAATGTAAGTTCAAGAGACTCAAAGACGTGTTCATCTGTATTCCAATTTTGCAAAGGCCCGGGCGTCTTCAGGAAAAGGAAATGTGGGTGAGGAAGTGGAGCCCAGAGAGCTGGTTCAGCTCAGCTCAACTTTATGTTGTCGTTCAGTCCTCAGTCGTGTCCAACTCCTTGTGACCCCATGGACTGCAGTGCACCAGGCTCCTCTGTCCTCCACTGTCTCCGGGAGTTTGCTCAAACTCATTTCCATTGAGTCAGTAATGCCATCCAACCATCTCATCCTCTGGCAACTTTATGACCCGGAACCAGTCACAGCGGACTCCCATGATCTCGACCCGAAGGGTGATGATTCTGGGCTCACTTTGACATAGGGCAAGAGCGGCAAGATGGCTCTGAAGTCTCCATGCACCACCCTGGGTACGTAAGGAAGGGGAAGGAGGTAGGCAGGATGGAATAGCTGCTAGAGTCAAAACTAGCTCTGCGGCAGCTCTGTGGCCTTGGGCAAATTATTTAACCTCTACGCCTCAGTTTGATCATCTATAAAATGGAGACAATAGCAATTCATTCATGGAGCCATTGTGACCTGTCAGGAGCTAAATCTACAAAGCTATTGACAGTTTGGGGTACTCATGTGCAAAAACAGTAGCTATCATTAGTGGTAATTCAATTCAGCTCCACGGTCATTTTGAGGAAGACTTTTTAAGCTAAAGACAGATGAAATGTGAATAATAATCCTCTATTTACAGAATGAAAAACTAACGTTGTGGTTTATAAATAACTCCCCTGGCTATAAAAGACTGTTATCTCTGTCTCCTCCAGGCAAGCCTAGTTAAATTCACCGCTGTGGTTTCCTACAAATGTAAAAAGAAGCACAATGACAAAGAATATACCAGAAAACATGGGGAGGCATGGAAATCAAAAAGAAATCAACTGATAGGGAAAAGGGAGCAAGGAACTAGGTTAAAATTATGCGGAAGACCCTCTAGATAAATAGCAGAGTGAAAAGGCAGCTAATTGAAGAATGAGGGAGTTTTCTTAACCAGTGCTAGCTGAGTAAAAATATAATTAGCTTTGATTCATGAAGATTGCTACAATATGACTCATTTACCAAAACAGTTACTAGCAGAATTACATTTGTTACTGTGAGAGGACCACGTGGCAGCGAGGGCTGTAGTAAATACCAAGTAATGTTTCTACTTTCGGCAGTGGCACCTTGGAAGAGGGCTCTGTTTCCTCATCAGTGGTTTTCTGTGATGCTGCTGCTCTGAGTGGCGCCTTTGGCGACCGGCAGGAACACAAAGACCTTCTACAGAGATGGGACATACCAGCATCACTGCTCCCAGCCAGGGCCTGGGAAAGGGTCTCACTTCTCCAGTCTGCACTCAGCACTGTCTGGGTCTCAAACTTCTTTCCACCAAGTGATGTCACATCTCCTCCGAAGTCATGCCCTTGGCGTTCATGCCTTTGGTGCTGAGGTCCCTCTCCTTGGAGATTCCCCGCAGACCTTGAAATTAGAAGATCTTCCTTCTGGTTGATTGGTTGTCTGATGGCTTTGAGAAGGGAAAGCCAGTGTGTTTTCCATTTCGATGTTTTCTCTTTATTCACTGTGCTTGACTGGGTGCTCCTCCCCATAGCACAAAGCCCTTGAAAGATTCAAACCCTGATAAATCAACAACACTTCAATCAGAAAAAGAAAAAAAAACAGGTTACCTTTCTGACCCTGGAGACACACCACCCAGTCTCTGGGTTTGGAGCCCTGGGCTCAGTTACACCTGAGGCCCTGAGCACCCGCAGTTCTGGTACCCCAGTTCCTGTCTCAGGATACTTACTGGTAAATCCTTGATTACCTATGTGTGTACCCCCCCTTCTATCCTCTCCTCCCACCACCCCCCCCCACCCCCCCATCCCCCAAAATTCAAACCTTCAGTGATCTGTGTGCACAGTTCAAGGAAGATGCCGGCTAGGTCAGGGCAGTAAAACAGGTGGGAAGACAGATGCTGGAAGGAGGGACTCTCAAGGGTCACAGAGATCTTAGAGAAGTCTTGGCCCAGCCTCTTTAAGGATGGACATGGATCCAGGGAATATGTGTGTAAGCGATGAGAAGAGCCATGTGGTTTCTAAAAACAGAATGCATGGCACAGGAAGAAGTAAGATGCATTTCTCACACGGAGAACAAGCACTGCAGGGAGAAATGTCCAGAAAAAGACAGCGGCAAACAGGTCTGCAAGTACAAGGCTAATGAAAATAAATACAGCTTACAGGCCTAATGAAGAACATCTCAGAGCAGGTTGAGCCCCTAACTGATACAAATGAGGACATTATCTTGCCTGGGCTCTCCTGTTCAGTGTAGGACAAGAATCGCGCAAATAGAAGGAGATGACCAGGCCTGTAATGGTAGAATTATAACCCCATACCAGACCAGGGCTTCTTAATAAGTAGAGCCATTTTCATCCAGACCCAAATCCACTTGAGGGCCTGAAGACCATCAATGTAAATGATGCTTAGCTGTCCTCATTGGAAGGTAATTAGTGTTTTAAGAGTCACTCACATCTCTTTCCTCAAAATGTCAGTATTTCATCAAAAATGTCAGTGCGTCAGTATTTCCCTAGAGCCCAGAAGCCAAAAATGATTCCAGAGGTGATTATCAGCCTGAGACCCACCACCACACTCTTTATTAAGTGCCACTGTTTTCTAGGCATGGGCTAAGTACTTCACGTGCATTGTTTGGTTAATATCATCCACAGCCTGAGAGGTAGGTATTATAAAATACCCTTCATTGTTTCAACTGAAGTTTAGTTGATTTACAATGTTGTGTTGGTTTCTGGTGTACAACAAAATGATTCATATATATATATATATATATTATGTATATATATTCTTTTTTCATTATGGTTTATTATAAGATATTGAATATAGTTCCCTGTGCTATATAGAAATACCTTGTTGTTTATTTTATTTATAGTAGTTTCTGTCTGCTAATCCCAAACTCCTAATTTATTCCTTCCCCACCCCCTTTCCCCTTTGGTAACCATAAATTTGTTTGCTATGTCTGTTTCATAAATAAGTTCATCTGGGTCATATTTTAGATTCCATATATTAGTGATATCGTGATATTTGTCTTTCTCTTTCTGACTTAACTTCACTTAGTATAATAATCCCTAGTTGCATCCAGGTTGCTGCAAGTGGCCTTGTTTCATTCATTTTTATGGCTAAGTAGTAGTATTCCATTGTGTGTGTGTGTGTGTATACCTCATCCTGTTTATCCATTCATCTGTCAATGGACATTTAAGTTGTTTCCATGTCTTAACTGTTGTAAACAGCACTACTGTGAATGTTGGGGTATATGTATCTTTTCTAATTAGATTTTTCTCAGGATATATGCACAAAAGTGGGATTGCTGGATCATATGGTAACTCTGTTTTTAGATTTTTGAGGAATCTCCATACTGTTTTCTGTAGTGGCTATGCCAATATACCTTCTCACCAACAGTGTAGGGGTTCCTTTTCTCCATGCCGTCTCCAGTATTTGTTATTTGTAGACTTAAATGATGTCTTTTTTGACCAGTGTGAAAGGGTACCTCATTATCGTTTTGATTTGCATTTCTCTAATAATTAGTGGTGTTGAGCATCTTTTCATGTGCTGATTGGTCATCTGTATTTCTTCTTTGGAGAAATGTCTATTTTATGTCTTCTGCTTATTTTTTAATTGCATTGTTTGTTTTTTTGTTATTGAGTTGTATGAGCTGATAGTATATTTCAGAAATTAAGCACTTGTTGACAGTGTCATTTGCAAATATTTTCTCCCAGCCCACAAGTTGTCTTTTTGTTTTGTTTATGGTTTCCTTTGCTGTGCAAAAGCATATAAGTTTCATTAGGTTCCATCTGTTTATTTTTGCTTTTATTTCGATTGCCTTGTGAGACTGACTTGAGAAACACTGGTACAGTTTATGTTGGAGAAAGTTTTGCCTACGTTCTCTTCTAGGAGGTTTATGGTTGTCATATGTTATATTTAAGTCTTTAAGGTATTTTGAGTATCAATGCTCTCATTTTTAAGAAATGGATAACTGAAACTCAGAGAGGTTGAGTAATCTGCCAAGGTCAAACAGTAAGTGACAAGTCCAGAGATCAGAACAGAAAACCAGCTTTGATAGGTTATTTTTAGGGTCAGCCTCCATGAAGAAATGAGAGATGAAACAGGAAAGTAAAGTGTATGCTCTGGATGGATGTGTCACGTTAGCTTCACAGACCCTTGGCCCTAAAATGAGGAGCCCAGGCAGCGGAGGCCAGCGTGGTACTCTTTAAAGCACAGGTGCAGAGCAGGGCCCCTCTTGCCCAGGTCTATGGGTAGAAGAGTCTGACAGCCTCCATTTTCTTGGTGAAACATGAAAAAGCCAAAGTTATTTGCTCAGACTGTTCAGTTCAGTTCAGTCGCTCAGTTGTGTCCAACTCTTTGCGGCCCCATGAACCGCAGCACACCAGGCCTCCCTGTCCATCACCAACTCCCGGAGTCCACCCAAACCCATGTCTTTTGAGATTGCATCCAAGTACTGAATTTAGGACTCTTTTGTTGACCATGATGGCTACTCCATTTCTTCTAAGGGATTCCTGCCCACAGTAGTGGATGTAATGGTCATCTGAGTTAAATTCACCCCTCCCAGTCCATCTTAGTTCACTGGTTCCTAGAATGTCAATGTTCACTCTTGCCATCTCCTGTTTGACCACTTCCAATTTGCCTTGATTCATGGACTTAACATTCCAGGTTCCGATGCAATATTGCTCTTTACAGCATCAAACCCTGCTTCCATCACCAGTCCCATTCACAACTGGGTATTGTTTTTGCTTTGGCTCCATCCCCTCATTCTTTCTGGAGTTATTTCTCCACTGATCTCCAGCAACATATTGGGCACCTACCGACCTAGGGAGTTCATCTGTCAGTGTCCTATCTTTTTGCCTTTTCATGCTGTTCAGACAGGTTGGGTGGAAATCCACTTAAAGGCATCAATGCCACCTTGACTGTTTGGTTCTTTTAACTCTCGGGAAACACAGTATCTGAGCAGTTTGCCAGGAGGGTTTGTTCCTAGCTTGAGGAAGAACCATGCTCCAGGCAATCAAGTATTCATTACTCTACCTAAGGTGCTACAGTTTATAGGCGTTCACTTGATAGATTTTTTTTCTTCCTACCTGCCGACCTCAATCAGCCCATAAAGTTTGCTTTGTGACAAAAGCATGAACTAGAGGGGGAAAGAAAAGTGCACCACACCCCCTACTTCAAAGCCAGAGAGCTATTAAACCTGATTTTGGCTCAGGAGTCCTCCGCAGTGTTGCAAGCAGGTCACCTTGAAAACAATCTGTTCATCACAAAGACTACTGGGCTTCGTTTCAGGTGGGTCTTCTCCTCCTGCCTTAAAGGCGAGTCTGAGTT